CATTTTTGATTCCCATTTGCATGTACTAGCTTTTTCAATCCTTTCACTTTTGATCTGTTTTTTTCTTTGTGAGATGTTTTTCTTGTAGAGTGCATAGAGATTGGACTTGATTTTAATCCATTCAGCCACTCTGTAACATTAAATTGGAGTGTTTAGTCTACTTACATGCTTTGTCATTGTTACTAAGTAATGTCTTAGTCCTGACATTTTTCCATATATTCCTATTGCTTCTTTTGGATAACCTTTGGACTATTAAATTTATGCCTTCCCATTCTTTCAGGATGCTGATCATCTTTCTTTGTTTTTCTGTGTAGTTAATACTTAAGTATCACTTGAGAGGCTGGACAAATGGTGGCAAATTTCTAGTTTTTTAAGAAGATGCTTATTTTATCTTCTTTTATAAATAAGAACTCAATGCAGTGTTTTGGGCTTTTGAGGTTTTAATTTGGGTAAGATGTAGACTATATCTCTCCATCTCTCCTAACCTGTTGGTTTTCTGATGAGAGTCTTATTGTCAATCTAATTGGAGATCTGTTACAAGATAGCTGATACTTCCCTTGTACATTTTAGGATGTTTTCTTTGTTTTACCTTTGAAAATTTGAATATAATGTGTCATGGTAAAGATCTCTGAATGTGACTCTTTGCAGTTCCATGTGTTCTTGTACTTGGATATCCATATATTTAACAAAATTAGGAAAATTTCCTGTTATTGTATCACCAAATAAGTTCTCGAAGTCATTCTGCTATTCCACTCCTACAGGAATGCATAGGACCAGTATATTTTGTCTTTAATGGTACCCTGTAGATCCTGAGGCATTTTTTTGCATTTTTATAAGTTTTAAAATGTCCTTTCTTTTTATCAATTTCAAAACCTTTTTCTTCCAGCTCAGACATTGTTTTTCTACCTTACTGAGTCTGTTTTTCAAGTTTTCCACTGTTTCTTTTTACTTATTAAATTTTTTATTCATAATATTTCAGTTTGATTTTTCTTTAATTTTTTTCTTAGCCTAATTTCTTACCCATATCATTCACAGGTTTCTTTAACTCTTGTGATTCCTTCTGTGTGTTTCTGAGGAGCCTTACATTTTTAAACTTCCTCTTCAGGCATTTCATCAATCTCATCTGCACAGTCTAACTGAAATATCATTGTGTTCCTTTTGCAGTCATATTGTCTCCCTCATTCATGTTCCTTGTATTTTTATGCTTAATTTCATGTGTATGTAGAAAACACTTGTTGATATCTCCTCTAAAGTCTCTGTACTTAGGAATCTGCCCTAGGTATGGTGGGATGCCTGTATCTTCCAACAAATCCAGAGGTGTGTACTAGCTGGGGTCAAGAGTTCTGGAAAACTTTTACAGGTGGGCCCAAAGCCTAGGGTAAAGACTATGAGCAAAGACTTCTATGTGAATCAGGCTCACATCCTCATGCTGGTGCAACAATCTCTTGCCACAGTCACCTGTGGGATTGTTTCTCTCCAGTGTCTCAGACACCTCCATCAAAATAATGGAGAATCAGAGAAGTCAGGACAATATCTGTGGCTGGCACTGTGGCCTAGTAGTCATAGTCTGCAGTTCTGTAATTCCATAAAAGCATCAGTTTGAGTAGTTTTTGCTCCACTTCCAATTCAGCTCCCTGTTAATTTTCCATGGGAAAGAAGCACAAGATGACCCAAAATCTTGGGCCCCTGAATCCAAGTAGGAGACCCACAGGAAGCTCCTAGCCACAGCTGTGAGCTGCTATAGGAAATCCAATGTCTCATTTTTCTAGTTATTGGAATTTGTGAGCTTTACTTAACTCATCAGCTGACCTGAAATCCTGAAGATTCTAGCTATCTCAGTTCCACAGTGTGTCTCTGTAGTCAGGCCTTAATTGTTTACTAAGCAACCTTTGTGAATATAGACTTAAGGACTTTATTGGTGTCCACATGTCACTGACCATGCCTGTGCCTAGACATGCTCAATAGAGGTGCTTGTTCACCTCTCTGTATCAAATTTTTCAGAAACTTTACCTTTTCCACACTTTCCAAGGTAAAATGATGTGATTCATTTTATACCCAATTTCCTTAGGGTTTTCATCAAGGAAGGATGTGTATTTTATCAAAAGCTTTCTCTGAATCTATTGAGATAATCATATGGTCTTTGTAGTTCAATTTGGTAATGTGATGAATCACATTTATTGACTTAGGAATGTTGAACCATCCCTGAATACCAGGATGATCTTTCTAATGTGTTGTTGGATTTGATCCACTAACATTGTGTTGAGGATATTTGTGTCTATGTTCATCAGGGAAATTGGCCTATAATTCCCTTTCTCTATAAATAAAAAGCTTTTATTTGTTTACTTGAAAGTTGGTGTTACAGAAAGAAAGAAAAAGAGTGAGGTCTTGCATTCCCTGATTCACTCCCCACATTGGCTGTAATGGCCACAGCTGCACTGATCCGAAGCCAGGGGACAGGATATTCTTCTGGTTCTCCCATGCAGTTGCAGAGGCCCAAGGACTTGGGCCATCTTCTACTCCCTTCCCAGGCCACAGAAGAGAGCTAGGTGAGAAGTGGAGCAGACTGGACTCAAACCAGTGCCCAAGTGGGAAGCCGGCACTGCAGATGGCAGTTTACCCAATACACCATGGTACCAGCCCCTATAATTATCTTTCTCTATTGCAACTTTTTTTCTTGTTTAGGAACTAAGGTGAAATTGGCTTCAAGGAAGAAGTTAGGGAGGAATCCCTCTATTTCAGTTATTTTGAATAGCTTGAGAAGAATTTGAATTAGTTCTTCAATTGTTAGATACAATTCAGAAGTGAGGCTGTCCTTTCTGGACTTTCTTATTGGGCTGGCTTTTATTTTTGATTCACTCTCCATTTAGCTTATTGATCTGTTTAGGGGGTAAGAAGATTACTGGTTCTAAATTTGAAATGAATGATTTTTTATACTTTAAATAAAAGGTTTCTAGGTAAAAAATAGGATAAACTCATTTAACAGATGTGAAAAAAACTGAGTGATTATGAGGAAACTTTTCTCACAAAGATGACACCATTATAGGAAATATAATTTTAACCTGGACATTCTTTGAATTTTTTAAGAAGTTTGCATTTTGTATGGTAGCAAAATTATCTTTATCTCTCTCTCTCTCTCTCTCTCTCTCTCTCTCTCTCTATATATATATATATATATATATGATATGTATATATACATATATATATATATATATATACATGCCTGAATAATGTATCTATAGATATTCTTTGGATTCTTTTTGTTCTGGTTGTAATATATAATGATTCACTCATAAAGGTAAATGAACATTTTCACAAGTATCTTATGGTCTACAAATGTCATATCTTTACGTTTTTGAAAAGTATCTTTTCTATTTTTGCATTTATTTTTTAATTTTGACATAATTTTACACAGTTATAGAACACAATGTGATATTTTGATTCAAGTATGAATTGTGTAATGATGAAATTAGGAGATTAGTAAGCATGGCGTCTTAAACTCTTGTCATTTCTTTGTGATGAGAACATTAAAAGTTCTCTCTCCTAATAATAATAATGACTCATTATTGCTAACTATGGTCATCCTACTGTACAAAAGACACCAGAATCATTTCTCCTATCTAACTGTGATGTTGCAGCCTTTTTTCATGTCTTCCTATTTCCCTCTGCCCAAGTTTCTCTTCCCCTGGTAAATAATAATCTACCCTCAACTTCTTTAAGATCAACTACTGTAGATTACACATATGAGTGAAAACATGTGACCTTTATTTTCTCTACCTGGCTTGTTAGAGTTAACTTAATATTCCCCAGGTCCACACACACTTTCACAAAATACAAGACTTCAGCCTTTTTGTGCCTGAAAAGAAATTATTTTAGGTCACATTCTATGCCAATGAATCTACAAGGACACGAAGTCTCCACGAAAGACAGCTGTACCACACACATAATTGAAGGCTGAGTGTATCTCTCATTATCTATCCAGGTGGATAAAAATCATGAATAGAACTTTACTGAATTTGTTTTATAATTTAAATGATCACTTATGTTAATTTACATTTCTGTAAATTACAGCCTTCACATTTACAGCTAAAACACTCTCCATTTTTGGAAATAGGGGATGGCAGTTTTTTTTAATTTATTTTATTGAGATAAAATTCAAATAATAAAAATCCAACATAGCAATCCTTTTAAAGTGTACAATTTAAGAATTATAACCAACTTCCTAATATTTTTAAGCAGAACATATGATTGTATTAGGGATTTACCTGGATTACATCATATAGATATTATTTAGGGTACATTAATATAGTTTAAACATTGAAAATGTTGCAATTTATTTATGGTCATATTATCATATTATTCCATTACCAATTAGACTTTACACCAGGAATCAAAGTAGAAAATATGTTAATGCATTTATCCACATTGATAGGATTAACAAGAATCATATATTCATGTTACTAAATAAATACTATGGGCAATTAATGGAAATAAATTTAATTAAATCAATACTATGCTGCAAAATATTTCTAAACAGCATGAAAACAATTGGTATAAAAGTAATGACACTTGAGCTAATATGGTTTAGTGGGTAAGGCTGCTGCCTGTGATGCTGGAATTTTTGCAGGCACTAGTTTGAATCTTGACTGTGCACTTTCATTTAGCTACCTGGTAATGAGCCTGGGAAAACAGCTAAAGATGAGCCAAGTACTTGGCCACTGAACACATGTGGAAGGCTGAGTAAAAGGTACTGGGCTTTATTTGAGCCCAGTCCTGGCCATTGCAGCCATTTGGGGAGTGAACCAGCAAATAGAAGACCACTCTCTTGCTCATTCTCTCTCGCTCTTTCCCATTTTTTCTCTCTCTCTGTCTTTACCTCTCTGTAAGTACTTTTCAAAGAAAGAAAAATAATTTTAAAAAGTTAAAAAAAGATATAAGTTATTGGAACATAAGCATTTGCCAGTTGTTAAGATGCCTTTTTGAATTTCTGCATCTCATATCAGGGTGCCTTCATTCAAGTTTAAGCTCTGGTCTTGAGTTCAGCTTTCTGACACCTTGGGAAGCAGCAGGTGAAAGAGCCCTAAAATAAAAATTTCAAAACTTGTCTAAAGAAATAACAGGAAACAAAAAATGAAACACAATTTCCTTGTCTGTGGATTGGTTGAATTAATACCATCATAATTAAAATACTACTGACAGCAGTTTATAGATTCAATGTGATCCTAGAAAAAAATGGTGCTATATTTCAAATATAAACAAAGAGATCCTGATTAGATAACACAATCTTAACCAAAAAATAAATAAATAAATAAAGACAGAAACATTGTAACACCAGATTTTAAGACATCCTACAGTTATATTCAAAAGAGCGTGCTACTGGCAATAAAATATATTTGCAGACCAATGGAACTGAATATAACTCCCAGAAATCAATTCACACATCTGTAGACAACTATTCTTTGATAAGGGCTAAAATCAATCCCTGAAGAAAGGACAGTCTATAGAACCAGTGCTGTTGAGGAATTTAACCTCCACCTGCAGAAATATGAAAAAAGACTGTATAGACCTTAAGCAAAATCAACTCAAAATGGATCAAGAATATAATCTATGACCTGATACCATCAAATAACTAGAGGAGAATTCTGGGGAAACTTTGCAAAGCATTGGAATATAAATTAATTATTGTAAAAGACATCAAAGCACAGAGAAATCAAAGCAAAATAGACAAATGGGATTACATCAAACTAAGACTCACTGCAAAGGAAACATTAAACAAATTGAGGAGTCAATTGATAGTATGGGAAAACATATCTGGAAACTATGAAACTGCTAAGGATTGATACCCATAATCTATAAAAGTTCAAGAAACTCAACAAAAAACAATCAAGTAAATAAATATTCAAAGCACTTGAACAAGCATTTCTCTAAATAGAAAATTCCATTAGTCAAAAGATAAAGAAAACCATGCTCAAGATTGGTAGCCAACAGGGAAATACAAAGAAAAACCCCAATGAGGCTTAACTTCACCCCAGTTAGAATGTCTCTCATACAAAAAAAAATTAATTGGTGGTAAAGATGTGAGGAAAAGAAACTGTCCACTGTTCAAGGAAATGTGGACTAGAACAGCCATTGTGGAAAATGCAATGAAAATTCTGCAGAAAACTGAAAGTAGATCCACTAAATTATCTGGCCTGCCTACTCCTGAGCATTTACCCCCCAAAAATGAAAACAGCACATGAAAGAATTATCTCCTCTAAGTTTGTTGCAGCTTAATTCACAATAGCTAAGATATGGAATTAACCCAGATGCTCATCAATTCATGACTAGATAAAGAAAATATGGTGTGTATACACTATGGAATATTATTCAGCCATAAAAAGAATGTGACCCCGTCTTAACAAAATGGATGCTACTAGAAAACATTATACATAGTTAAATAACCCAGTCCTGAATAGACAAATACCATAGGTTTTATTCTAATCTGTGGTAATTAAGAGATTACAAAAATAGCAATGCATAATTATTTGCATTTCAAATTCCACAAAATTATTTTGTGCATAAACTGCTGAAAGATGACACTTTAACATCTAAATGATCAAGGATCCAAATCCAATCCCTGGAATAAGGACAGTCTATTCAATAAATGGTGTTGGGAAAATTGGATTTCCATGTGCAGAAGCATGAAGCAAAACCCTATTTCACCTTACACAAAAATCCACTCAACATAGATTAAAGACTTAAATCTATGACCAGACACCATCAAATTATTAGAGAACATCAGAGAAACCCTGCAAGATATCGGCACAGGCAAAGACTTCTTGGAAAAGAAACCAGAAGCACAGGCAGTCAAAGCCAAAATTAACATTTGGGATTGCATCACATTGAGAAGTTTCTGTACTGCAAAAGAAACAGTCAGGAAAGTGAAGAGGCAACTGACAGAATGGGAAAAAATATTTGCAAACTATGCAACAAATAAAGGGTTAATAACAAGAATCTACAAAGAGATCAAGAAACTCCACAACATCAAAACAAACAACCCACTCAAGAGATGGGCCAAGGACCTCAATAGACATTTTTCAAAAGAGGAAATCCAAATGGCCAACAGGCACATGGAAAAATGTTCAAGGTCATTAGCAATCAGGGAAATGCAAATCAAAACCACAACGAGGTTTTACCTCACCCCAGTTAGAATGGCTCACATTCAGAAATCTACCAACAATAGATGCTGGAGGAGGTGGGGAAAAAGGGACACTAACCCACTGTTGGTGGGAATGCAAACTGGTTAAGCCACTATGGAAGTCAGTCTGGAGATTCCTCAGAAACCTGAATATAACCCTACCATACAACCCAGCCATCCCACTCCTTGGGATTTACCCAAAGGAAATGAAATTGGCAAACAAACAAGCTGTCTGCACATTAATGTTTATTGCAGCTCAATTCACAATAGCTAAGACCTGGAACCAACCCAAATGCCCATCAACGGTAGACTGGATTAAGGAATTATGGGACAGTACTATAGAATACTATACAGCAGTTAAAAACAATTTAAACCGGGCATTTGCAACAAAATGGGGGAATCTGGAAAACATTATGCTGAGTGAATTAAGCCAGTCCCAAAGGGACAAATATCATATGTTCTCCCTGATCGGCAACAACTAACTGAGCACCAAAGGGAAACTTTTGAAGTGAAATGGACACTATGAGAAACAGTGACTTGATCAGCTCTTGTCATCACTGTTGTGTATAATGTAATACGTTATCCCTATTAGTATTTTTTTTTGTTTTAGTACTATTTGTTGAACTCTGTAATTAACACACATTTATTCTTAGGTGTTGAAATTCAACTCAAAAGTGATCCCTGTTAAATCAAGTGGGAATAAGAGAGGGGGAGATGTACAATTTGGGACATGCTCAATCAGACTTGCCCCAAAGGGTGGAGTTAGAAATGTGCCAGGGGATTCCAATACAATCCCATCAATGTTGCATGTACCAATGCCATCTCACTAGTCCAAGTGATCAACTTCAGTTCACAATTGATCACACTGATATGTCTAAAAGTCAAAGGGATCACACAAACAAGGCTAGTGTCTGCTAATACTAACTGATAGAATCAAAAAGGGAGGAATGATCCAACATGGGAATTGGGATGCACAGCAGACTCACAGAATGGCAGATGTCCTAAATTGCATTCTGGCCTCAGAATCAGCCCTGAAGTCATTCAGATTTGGCTGAAGAGCCCATGAGAGTATTAAGGCTTGGAAAGCCAAGACACTCTGGGGAAAATAAAAAGAAGACCTAAATGAAAGATCTCTGCAAGTGAGATCCCAGTGGAAAGAATGGGGCCATCAAAGAAGGAGGTACCTTTCTCTGAAGGGAGGAGAGAACTTCCACTTTGACTATGACCCTGTCAGAATAAGATCAAAGTTGTTGAACCCAAAAGTCTTCCATAGCCTTGGCAACTCATGACTAAATTCTAGGGAGATTCCTGATGCCATAAACAAGAGTCAAATTGTTAAGTCAACAACAGGAGTCACTGTGTACTTACTTCTCATGTGAGCTCTGTCCTTAATGTGTTGTGCAATGTGAAGTAATGCTATAACCAGTACTGAAACAGTATTTTTATTTTGTGTTTCTCTGTGGGTGCAAAGTGATGAAATCTTTACTTAATATACTAAATTGATCTTCTGTATATAAAGATAATTGAAAATGAATCTTAGGCTGGTGCCATGGCTCAATAGGCTAATCCTCCACCTAGCGGCGCTGGCACACTGAGTTCTAGTCCCGTCGGCATGCCAGATTCTGTCCCGGTTGCCCCTCTTCCAGTTCAGCTATCTGCTGTGGCCAGGGAATGCAGTGGAGGATGGCCTAAGTCCTTGGGCCCTGCACCCCATGGGAGACCAGGATAAGCACCTGGCTCCTGCCTTCGGATCAGTGTGGTGCAATGGCTATTGCGCGCTGGCCACGGCGCCCATTGGAGGGTGAACCAACAGCAAAAAGGAAGACCTTTCTCTCTCTCTCTCTCTCTCACTCTCCACTATCCACGCCGTCAAAAAGAAAGAAAGAAAGAAAGAAAGAAGAAAAAAAGAAAGAAAGAAAGAAAAAAGAAAGAAAGAAAGAAAATGATTCTTGATGTGAATGGAATGGAGAGGAGCAGGAAATGGGAGGGTGCAAGTGGGAGGAAAATTCGGGGGAGGGAGCCAATGTAATCCATAAACTGTACTTTGGAAATTTATATTTACTAAATAAAAAATGTAAAATATATTCAAAATATACAAAATGAGAAATACAAGTTGACACTACCAAGAAAAAATAACACAAAATGAGTAAAAACATCACTTAATCATGAAGGAAAAATAACAGCAATATTCAACTTTACTGATATGAAGTAAATTTAAAGTAGTCATAAAGTCATTAAAACTACTATTAAATAATTTCTATCAATTTATTAGATGCATGCTTTTAAAATGGTTTAAAAATACAGTATGTGCAGCACAATTGACATATTCAGGCATAATTTTTTAAAAATTTTTATCCCACCTAACAGATAACGTATGGTATCATTCATTCTGTGTCTGATTTATTATACTAAACATTTGTCCTCCAATTCCAATAATTTTCCTGCATTTGTTGGATTTTCATGCTTTTGTCTTTTTTTTTTTTTTTTTTTTACAGGCAGAGTGAACAGTGAGAGAGACAGAGAGAAATGTCTTCCCTTGCCGTTGGTTCACCCTCCAATGGCCGCTGCGGCCAACGCACTGCAGCCGGCACACCGCGCTGATCCAATGGCAGGAGCCAGGTACTTATCCTGGTCTCCCATGGGGTGCAGGGCCCAAGCACTTGGGCCATCCTCCACTGCACTCCCTGGCCACAGCAGAGAGCTGGCTGGCCTGGAAGAGGGTCAACCGGGACAGAATCCAGAGGCCCGACCGGGACTAAAAACTGGTGTGTCGGCGCTGCAAGGCGGAGGATTAACCTAGTGAGCGCGCACCAGCCCATGCTTTTGTCTTACATTAACATTTTATTTGTGTGTGCTTTGTGTGTTTGTATGTGTGTATGCAAATATCTTTAGCCCTTCATTTGATTAGTTAATTCTACATTTTTGCATTATGAACAGTGATGCTATTCACATGGTAAAGCAGGTATATTTAAGCCAATATTTTTGTGTCTATTCTGTATATATCCAGGAGTGAAATTTTTGAATCATATAGCAAATCTATTTTTAGATTT